TAAGGGGAAAACAAAGCTGATTCCGTGGGTTCCAGGGAAGAGCTCGCGTCCTTCCAGTCATGTGATTGGTTCCAGGTGTGCGTCCCCCACATTGATCCCTCCTGCCCGGAGCCACCTGCGTGGCCCAGGAGGGCCTGAGGCAGTGGTCGGCAAACTCATTAGTCAACAGAGCCAAATATCAACAGTACAACGATTGAAATTTCTTTTGAGAGCCAAATTTTTTAAACTTAAACTATACAGGTAGGTACATTGTTATTAACTTAATTAGGGTCCTCCTAAGGCTTAGGAAGAGCCACACTCAAGGGGCCAAAGAGCCGCATGTGGCTCGTGAGCCGCAGTTTGCCAACCACGGGCCTGAGGGACAACTCACTCGTGCAGAGTGGGAGGATCCCGACCCCTTCGCCTGAGCTCAGGGAAAGGATGGCCTGGAGGGTCACAGAACCACAGGGCGTCCAGCACCGCCAAGACCCTGCCAGCACCCCCTCCCCTCCCTGATGGGGTGGTTTCCTCGGGAGCTCCCCCCGCAGGCGGCAGGCGGAACACCAGCCTGGGGCAGTGATAGGAGACAGGTGCTCTCCCCTGTGGCTTAGTTTGGCTTGAGGCAGCGGGCATTCATTTTACCAGGGCAGGAGCCCAGTACCCAGATGCAGAGAGGGGTGGAGGAATGAGAGCCGTGGCTGCCCCGTGGGGACCTCGGCCAAGGAGCGGAGTCTGTGTGGGCAGAACGTGGTGGCCCGTGTGAATCAGCGGGGCTGCAGGAGCAGAGAGCGCGCACAGGGCGGCCTAAACCAGCTCCCCTCTCTGAGCGCTGGAGGCAGGAGGCTGAGCCACGGTGTGGGCAGGCCGGCTCCTTCTGCGGGTGCCGAGGGAGGCCGGCTCCAACAGGCCTTGCCGTCCCCGGGCCGTAGACACGTCCCTCTAATGGTGGTCTCTGTCTTTACACGCCTTCTTCTACCCATGACCCCCCTTGTGGACCCCCTGTCCTATCTCTTAGGACATCGATCTCTGCCTTTGATTCGGGGTTCGCCCTAAACGCAGGGGGTCTCATCATGAGACCTTATGTTACTTACATCTGCAAAGACCCTATTTTCTTTTTCAATTTTATCACAATTTTCTTTTTTTATTATTGTCTAAAGTTTTACATATGTCTCCTTTTTCCCCAATTGACCGCCCCCACAAGGCATTCCCACCCTGGGCAAGCCCCCTCCACCCCAGTGTCTGTGGCCATTGATTATGCAAATATGCATGCATACAAGTCCTATGGTTGCTCTCTCCCCCCCCACCTCCCCTGCCATTTGTCTCTGGATCTATTTTTGTTCATCAAATTATGTTGATCATTATATCCCACATATGAGTGAGATCATGTGATACTTACCTTTCTCTGACTGGCTTATTTCGCTTAGCATAATGCTCTCCAGTTCCATCCATGCTGTTGCAAATGGTAAAGGTTCCTTCTTTTTTATAACAGCGTAGTATTCCATTGTGTAGATGCACCACAGTTTTTTAATCCACTCATCTGCTGATGGGCACTTAGGTTGTTTCCAAATCTTAGCTATGGTAAATTGTGCTGCTATGAACATAGGGGTGCATATATCCTTTCTGATCGGTGTTTCTGGTTTCTTGGGATATAGTTCTAGAAGTGCAAAGACCCTATTCCAAATAAGGTCTCATTCCCAGGTAGAGGCGGGCAGGACACCTTTGGTGGCGCTGTTCAGCCCACCCCACTTCCCATGCTCGCTGGGGACCACTTGGTGAGCCAGAGCCCCTGGGGAGAGAAGGCGAGTGAAAGTAACTTGGAGAGAGACGAGACCCCTGGTTAGAGATGGGGACCTTTTCATCTTGCTGAGGCTAGAATGGGCTCCAGGCCAGCAGAGTGGTGAGTGTGGGCTTGGGTGGGGCTATGGGAATGGGGGGGGCACCCCTCTCAGAGCCCAAGTCCACATAAGAGAAGGAGGAGGCCTTGTCCGAGCCAGTTTGGCTCAGTGGATAGAGCATCAGCCTGTGGACTGAAGGGTCCCAGGTTCTATTCTGGTCAAGGGCACATGCCCAGGTTGTGGGCTTGATCCCCATTAGGGGGCGTGTAGGAGGCAGCGGGTCAATGATTCTCTCTCATCATTGACGTTTCTCCTCTCTCCCTCTCCCTTCCTCTCTGAAGTCAATAACAATATATTTAAAAAGAGAGAGAGAGGAGAAGGAGGCCCGGCCTCTGAGCTGCGGTGTGCGGACGCGCCGCTAAGGGATCCCTTCCTTGAATGCTAAGTGGGTCTGCTTGTTGTCCAGCCTCCAAATGCAAAGGCATTGTTTGCCCGAATGAATGAATAACTAAGCAAATGAATCAAGTCAGTAATGTACACTGCCAGGGTTTCAGTATTCCATTCAGTGTTCCATTTGTCAAATTTAAAATGAGAACAAAACAGCAGAAATGAGACAATCTCCCTATTCTAATCACAGATGCGCATTCCTCTGTATCGCCTCATATCACAATGTAGAACATGTTATTATGTTGAGAAATCAGAAAACGCCACTCAGGTTATAAGGCTCAGAATTAAGCACCGAGGAGGGGAAAGAAACCGGGAATAGTAAAAGGCTCGTGCGAGCGGCCCTGGGCACTGGGAGGCGGCGCAGTCTCCGGGCCAGAGGCCGAGAAAGCTACTCCCTGCCTCAGCTTCTGGTCTGGAAGGCTCCCGGCTTCCCATCGGGATCCCATTCGCAGGGGCCAATGAGACTCAGCTGGTTCGGAAGCTCAGGAGGGACTTGGCGCTTGGTGAGAAACCCGCTCCCTACGAGGAGCAAGGAGAAGAGGACGGGTGTGGAGAGCCCAGGTGGGTGTGGGACCCGCTGATTCACTGCGGATTCAGCCCCGAGAGGTTGGGCACGCTTGCGAGCTGACGGCACCTGGGACTCACCTATTTCTTCCTTTAGCTCAGTTTTTGCTTCAAATGTCTGAAGCTCTGTTAGGCACACACACTTCGGTTGTTAGGCCTTTCTGATCTATGGACCCTTTTATCGTGAAACGTTATCTGGCCTTTGGTAGTACTTCTCGTCCGAGGATCTGGTTTGCATGTTGTTAATAACGTAGCCACTCCTGTTTTCTCATGATTAGTGTTTGCCTATGTGCCTACTTATAATTTACACAGATACAATTTTATACACCCATGTATACTTTTTATTATCGTAATATACATATAATGTTCCATTTTAAGCATACCGTTTCAGAGTACAATTTCAGTCACGTGTTTTATGGCCACAACTATCTAGTTAAAACATTGTTTATCACCCCAAACAGAAACACTGCACCCACTGAGCAATAATTGCCTAGCCAAGGTCTTTCTCCAGGTCCTGCAAAGAGATCCTTTAAAAAATACATTTTTAGTCCAGATTTTGTGATTGTTATCTGTGACACAGCTCAGCTCAGCCATTCTGTCATTAACCTCTAAAAGATTTTTGCTAAAGATCTGGTTAAATGACACTGATTTTGGATTCTTAGAATGTTTTAAAAGCCATATTTTAGGCCAAAGCGAAAGCTAGAAATGCACCCTGATGGTGACAATAGCCTTAATCATTTACCTCCACTTGTCGATTTAAAAAAACACAACACACAAAGCCTCCTCTGTGACTGTGTTCTGAGGTCCCCGAACCAGGGTATCATCACTGTACCCACAAAAGGCTGTTGCTGAGGTTCTGTCCTGTTCCTGGGGTTTAGATCACATGGTGTCTGAGCCCACAGAACCCCTTACGCTGGCTCTTGCCTTCTCGGAGGGATGTTGCCTCGCGAGCTAAGCTAGCTGATTGCTTTGGGTCCCGATGCTCCTTCGTGGATCACGGCGTGGTCCCAACTATGAGTCCCTGGGGCTTCTTCCAGGAGGGCCCCCTCCAGTCATGGGACACCAGGTGGATCCATGGCACAGGGTAGCCGGGCAGACACCTGACTTCTGAGCCTGGCCCCGTGGAAGCAGCAGGTCCTGGCTGGGAGGTGGCATTTCATTCCCACGGCAGCGCCGGGAGCGCATGGTGGGGAGATGTGGGTTTTGCCAGCGTGTCTGTTACTTTCTGTGTCGAGATACCCGTTGGCACTCCGCGGGGGATGGAGGGAAGCGAGCAGGCAGCCACAGCGGGAGGGTAGCCAAGACAGGCTCCAGGAAGGGAGGGAGGGGACGGCTCGGCTCAGCCCGTGGTGGGAGGATCCCATGTGGGACAGCGGCTTAGCTCCATTTGAGTAGAAGTGGAGGAAGGAAGAGGCAGGAAGACAGACATGTGACAGGGAGGCCACACTCTCTATTTCAGCGGTTCTCAACCCGTGAGTCGCCAACAATGAAAATACATCCTGCATATCAGATATTTACATGACGAGTCATAACAGTAGCAAAGCTCCGGGAGCCCCTCTGCCTGCCCCGCTGTCCAGGGTTGGGGTGCAGGGATGCAGGGAGAGGCCCTGCAGATCCAAGGTGAAAGGTCAACGGACCAAAGGTGAGACAGAGGCAACCGGAATCTCACAAAACTAGGGGTCACGTCCAGACAGGGATGTCCGAGTCCACGGCGACCAGTCGGACAGGCAACTCCGAGCGCGTTGGCCATCCACCCCGGCGGACACAGGAACCTGTTCTGAGGGAGAGTGTTTTCTTAGCATTAATCAATATGCTATTTAGCTATGAAGTTAAATCCCTGTCCATTGACCCTGAGGTGCTGAACTATGGATGGATTTTACCTGCTGGAAATGAAAACACACAGAGGCTCTCCACGGAACACATCTAAATCAAAAGTTTTGTGATAAATGAGTAGAGCAAACTTAATTAGATATTTATGGCGATTATGAGTCTGCTTTGTGTTCCAGCCACAAGGAGAGAAATCCGATCTGCCTCCAGAGGAAAAGAGCCGAGCCCCGCGGAAGCCTTGAGGACACCGTGCCCTGCGCTCGCTGACTCAAGCCCCTGGACAGGTGAGGCGAGGCTCAGAGGCTCACCACGGGACACATCTAAATCAAAAGTTTTGTGATAAATGAGAAGAGCAAACTTAGATATTTATGGCAATTATGAGTCTGCTTTGTGTTCCAGCCACAAGGAGAGAAATCCGATCTGCCTCCAGAGGAAAAGAGCCGAGCCCCGCGGAAGCCTTGAGGACACCGTGCCCTGCGCTCGCTGACTCAAGCCCCTGGACAGGTGAGGCGAGGCCAGCAACCTTGCCCGGGCCCACCTGCCGGAGAGCACCTGCCCGCCCCCAGTGCCCAGGCCCGGGGTCCGGGCAAGGTGGCGGCGACATCACCAGCCTGCACACACCTGATTAACTGCCCCGCAAACCCTCCTGCTCCAGTCCACGCCAGAGGAGTCATGGTGTTGGAGAGGGTCCTCTGACAGCAGATGGAGGGCCCGTCAGAGCGGGGAGCTGAGGCTGGGGGTGTGGAGAGGTGCGCTCACCGACCCCATCCGGGTGATGGGGTTGGAGCCGGCAGCGGTCCTCCATTATGGCCAGATCACGTGGGCAGTGCCTGTGGGTTTTTGTTAAATCCTGGGACTGACCTCGGTGCTTAAACTGGCAAGAATTTGAACTGATTGCAGCACCTGAGAGGCTGGGGTTTTGTTCATTTCCGAATGCTAGGCCCTAGCGCAGGGCTTAGAGCAAAACCCCAAGCAATGGCCACGTTGTGTGTGGCTCAGGCCATGTTAGAGCCCCTTCCTATTTGCACTGTTGGTGACGTCTCCCAAGCATCCGGATGGTCATCAGAGCCAGCGTGGCCCCCAGAGAGAGGGAGAGAGTGTGGTCTCTTTAGGAAGGGGCCCCTCCCCCGCCCTCTGGGAAAGGCTTTCTGGCTGAGAAACCTGGGAGACAATGCTCAGCTCCCGGAAATGCAATGCCAGGTGTGGACGCGGGCGGGTCCCCGGGACCTCCTGTCCATTGCTGGTGCGGGTATTCGTTAGTCTAATCACTCTGAAAACAGTTGGACATTTTCTCCTAAAACCCACCTGCTCTACTCCATAGACTTCTCTCCTCGGTCAGTGCCCGCGGGGAACTCTGGCCTGGGAACACCTGGAGACACGCGTTAGCCAAACGCGCATCGGCTGGGGAACGGATGGAGAAACGGGGGTGCAGGCTGCTAGTTGGGTGTTCCAATCAAAGTGTCTGAAGAAATGCCGACACCACCCAGTACGGCTTAAACTGAGCAACCTAACGGTAAGTGGACAATTAAGTCCCAAAAGATCACAAAGAAATGCCGACACCACCCAGTACAGCTTACTCTGAGCAATCTAACGGTAAGTGGACAATTAAGTCCCAAAAGATCACACGCAGGAAAAATACCATTTATATCGCGTTAAAACAGTGACATTAAAACACGTGGTGTTTGGGAAAGTATAACAAGGATGGTGGGTGTGGGATTGAAGGTGTTCACTTTGGGTGGAAGAAGGTGAGGGAGGAGATGGAGGCTCTAGTGCAGATATTTTTGGTCAAGATGCTAATCTTCTATGTGGAGGTGTAGTGGATTTGCAGGTGTGTATACTATTATAACATGTAAGTAGATGGAATGTAAAGGAAAAGGCTTGTGTTCTAACAAAAGCTTACTCTTGTGGAGCCCTACTATGTGCAAGGCAGTATTTTGCAAAATTGATATCACAACATCCTCATCAGGAAAATACTCCAAATGTCAACGGAGGAAACAAGGCACTTTCTGAGCCCAGGCCGCGGAGCCCGAGGCACAGTGTGCCTGAGGGGCGCCATCCCAGGCCGGCAAGAGGAAGGCAGAAGGGGAGTGAGCCAGGCTCCACGTTATGCTGGTCTCGGGTGGACAGGAGAACCCAGCGAGGTCTGCTGTTCGGTTCACTCGGGTGAGTCCACCCACACGGGAGGCGGGGTGACCCTGGGGAGACACCTGCATCGGGTTGAATGCAGTAGAAGGAGGCTAATGCACATTCCCAGTCTCACCGCTGGCACCTGGCCGAGCTGGGATTGAACCCACACAGTCTGGCTCAAACGAAGATGGGCCTCACTCACTACACTATGCCTCTGGGGTCAGACAGAGAGCTTCCCTCCCTGGGAGGTCAGTGGTGCCATCAGGGGGAAGCTCAGAGCGGGGGGCCCGGGCAGAGGGTAGAGGAGCCCCCTCCCTGCCCCCAGCCCCAAGGAAGAGCTATCCTGGACACGAAGACAGGGTGGAGATTTTGTTGTCAGTGTCATTTTCCCCTTCGCTCCATTTTGCTGTGTTCTCTAGCACCTGTCTGCCCCGTTCTAGCCATCACAGAATGCTACTCAGTAATCAGCTTTTACAGGGGGAAGCTCAGAGGGGGGGCCCAGGCAGAGGGTAAAGGAGCCCCCCATCCCCAAGGAAGAGCTATCCTGGACAAGAAGACAGGGTGGAGATTTTGTTGTCGGTGTCATTTTCCCCTTCGCTCCGTTTTGCTGTGTTCTCTAGCACCTGTCTGCCCCGTTCTAGCCATCACAGAATGCTACTCAGTAATCAGCTTTTGTCTGTTTTCTCCACTGAAACACGACTGGTCTCCACGGCTGCATTTTGTGAGTGCGCACGGGTGAAAGGGCGATGCGCGCGTCGGTTTCTGGATGAGGTCCGGGATGCCATCTGCAGCAGCAGATAGCGACGACAGGGATGTTTCCAGGATGCGGCCGCCACTGCCCGGGAGGCTCGCCATCCAGCTGTGAGATGAGGCTTCCGGGGCCCGTGCCGTCCAGATTAAACAAGGACGGCCGCCTGGTGCGCCTCTCTCTGCCAGATCGCGGACCCGCGAAGCTCAGCAGTCCTCCCCCTTCAAGACAGCTAAACGAGTCGCCTAAAACAAACACATCTCCCCGCGCACATCTCCGAGCTGGCAAAGCAGCAAAGAAAAGCCTCAGAGGCAAACCTGGGAAGCAAGAAGTCAGAGAAATAAATCAACTCGGAGGCCACAGCTGCCCTGGTGACCGTGAGAGGAAATAGACAAAACCCAAGGCCCCGCCCACAGGACAAGTGTGACAGGAGTCTGTGGCAGAAAGCCAGGTACTGGAAGAATCGACTAGAAAAAAATAGCCCACTCCCCTTGTAAGAAGGAATATGAGAAAACTTACCTGGATGAAGGGGTGGGGGATCTCCTCTGAGAACCTGTAGTCGCCACATGACCTGTGCTTAAGTTATGGGTCTGAATTTATACTACACAGTTGGTCCAAAAAAAACCCCAAGAACTTACTTAAAAGTAGGTGCAGGTGAATGGTGTTCTCAGATGCCCGGGAGTAGCAGAAATACATTATCTCGGGGAATTCGCCGTCCATCCCGGCCCCTGGGAGCTCTCACGGTTAGGGCTCCATTATATGTGAGCCTAAAATAGAAAGTAAAATTTAATAAGTAAAAATTCCAAACCACGTGAAGAAACAAGACCCCAGGAATAGGAGCAGCAAATGTGAGGCGAGAGCCGGATGTGCAAAGCTTGCAGTACTGGAGTCAGCAAAACACTGTCAAAACGCAACATGCTTTCTGTGCTTAAAATAGTCAAAAGGGCGGGCGAGGGACAGGCACTCCTTGCTTTATTGTGCTCTTCAGATACGGTGTTTTTTACAAATGGAAAGTGAGACCCTCCACCAGGAAAAAGATGAGCATTTTTTTTTAGCAATAAAGTTCTTTCTAATGAAGCTATGTACGTTCTTACACCTAGAGCTAGTGCACACCTAATGGATTATGTATAGTGTAAACATAACTTCTATATGCCCATGGGAACCAAAACATTGTATGTCTCACTTTATTGCTATAGTCACTCTATTACGGTGGCTTGGAACTAAACTCATCCCTCCAAGCTTTATGTGTATTTAATATGAGAGGAAGAAAATTTTCAAAATTGCAAAAGACTAGTCAATTATAAAAGCTAACTAACTAGAACTTCATGCGGTTTCAAAAAATACTAAATATTGAAAACTTGGCAAAAGAATGAAATAATAAAATGGAAACAACTGAAGATAAATTTAGTTAGCTAGAAGACCGAGCTAAGAAATTGTAGAACAGAGGAGAGAAAGAAATGGAAAGTGTGGAAAGAAGTGAGGAAAGAGGGTAGGGTGAGAATTTCTAACATGCATACAGTCAGAGATGCAGAAGGAATGAGAAAGCAGCAATATTTATAGAGATATAGCTAACATTTTTCTCATTGATCCATTATATCTGCTTAGTTACCCTTCTTTTAAAACCCTTCTGAGCAGATATAATGGAACAATAAGCCATAGTTTAGTGAAACCACAGCACACTACCTTCAGAGAAAGCAGTGGAAAGAAACACATTGAAGCAACAGCAGTAAGATTGACAGCAGGTTTCACAAGAGTAAAGATGGAGTCTAGAAGACGATGGAAAACAGCTCCAAAATGTTTAGTTTTGTTCCTGACCGTTTAAAATTGCAGACACAGCAAATCCATTGCACTGTAGAACCACACTGAAATTTAAAAAAAAAATGTTCCAGAAGAATCAACTAGGCAAGTTCCCGACTCTCCCACCCACTGCAGGGAATTCTCGAGACGCTCTCCCAGAACCCTCGCTCTCAGAGCCAAGATCCATGCAGCAAGAAGCAGTGTTGTGCACCAACATTGATGCAGGTGGTGATACCCAAAGGGAAATGGACTGTGTAGAAATTACAAAAGTGCCTGATTTCTGGGGGGTAAAAAAGAGCTAGAATGGTGAACAGCCACAGAAAGTTACTGGGGGGAGGGGGTCATGATCAGAGTTCAAGTGTTTTAAAGAACCTGTGTTACCTTTTGTCTCTGTTTAGTCCAGTGATGGCGAACCTTTTGAGCTCGGCGTGTCAGCATTTTGAAAAACCCTAACTTAACTCTGGCGCCGTGTCACATATAGAAATTTTTTGATATTTGCAACCATAGTTCGCCATCACTGGTCTAGTCTGCAAGTTAAAATTCCGGCATCCCCCTGCAGGGGCAGCATGTCAGAGTGCTTCCTGCCCTGGGATGTGAGGTGGCGACACACCCCTGGGGACCCTGCGGCACAAAGCTGTGGGTGGTCTGGGAGACCCCAGACAAGACGGGGTGTCCGTCTTCCAAGCTGCGGAATGAGCAGGTTTCAGCCTGTGAGTGGACAGCAACAAGGATGACCCTCAGAAGGGTCTGTGATCAGGCCTCTGGGAGGGACCCAGGGCCGGCAGAGTGTGACCCGGAGGGGACCTAGCCCTGCACACTGACGCTTCCGGCGCTGGGAGCACACCCCACTCCACCCAGACATACTTTTAGCATCTCTAACAGGGACGTTTCGCTCACCCTAAGAGTGAGCTCAGGCGGGGTTTCCTTCCTGATGTGCCGGTAATGGTTACAAGTTATTCCGCAGCAAGTCACCAGTCCCTGGGCCATTAGACCAAAGAGCTCAGAAATCAGAGCTCGGCTCTCACACCGAAACGTGTCCAACCTCAGTCCTCCTTTTCAACTTATTAATGTTACAGGAATGGAGTGCGTTTTATATTCTGAGAGTCTGTGAGCTTCAAGGACGAAGCCTTCTCTTTTCCTTCCCTCTGCAATTGTCAGCTGTGAATAAGGAAGGAGAAGCCTTGAAATAATCATCTCCCACAGGCCATCAACAGGGACTCTGAACAGGATTCTTGTTTTGTTTGTTTGTTTGTTTGTTCCTGTGATTGGAATTGGTCCCCTCCGGTCTCCTGGCCCCTGAGGTGGCATGTTGAACCCTCAGGATGGCATTTGGGGGACAGTAAACCTCTTTTGTATTCAACCAGGAGCTAATCAACTTTAATTATTTTCAAAATTAATTTTCTCCCTAGAAATATTACTTATTTCTTCATCTGTCAAGATGTCAATACAAGTGATTTGGAAACGGGAGGATTCCAGGAGTCTTAGCTTGGGCGGGGGCGGGGGATAGAAATGGCATCATGTGCATATAGAGTGGTTTTGTGGTTGAGCCGTAAGCTGCACTGAGACTGCAGATAAAACACAGATGAATTTCTGTGATGTTGCTTCTGGTCAGAAATGGTGTTTTATCTTTGACCGGTAAGATACCATCTATAAAAAGTGCATATATTTGAGGACAGACTTTTCGGTAAAAATAGGGTAACATTAGTAACATCTTAGAAGGCTGTTACCGAGGTCCAGCAAGCATGTGGGCGTGAGAATGTAAAATGTGATTCTAAGTATCTGGTTTAGTTTGTTTTGAAAAGTTTGACTGTGGTCAGTGCCACCAGAGCAGGCCTGAGAAGAGTGACCGTGGCCTGCAGGCCATGGCAGGAGGGGTGAGGGGGTGTCCACTTACCTTCTCCGACCCAGAGACCACGCAGGAGGCCAGCTTACCACACCCCCCGAGGCTCGGCGTCCGGGGGGCCACAGCCTGGCCACAGGATGGCACCAGCCATCCCGACTCACCTCTGCTACCTGGGCACCAGCGAGCCGGAGCCTGCAAACACCTGCATGGTCACTTCGATCTGCGAACTTTGTGCACCTCTTCCACTCCCCGCGGCAGGATGGGTGCAAGGAGGCTGGCAGGCCTTGGCCCTGGAGGGAGCTGTCAGGGAAGAATGAAAAGGCAGGAGATCAGGAAACTCCATCGGAAGGCCTGGCCCCCACCTGCAGGTCTGCCTACACAGCCCGTCCCGAAGCTGGACACCCCACCTTTCTTAGCCAGTCCCCTATCTGTCAGCCTCATTTCACGAGCAAATCTGTAGGACAATTACAGACATAAAGGCATTCAATCCCCAAACTCTCCAGAGTGAATATTTTTCGGCATCACACCCACGTCTTCTGAGTCCTGCCATCTCACGAGGCAGCTCACTGTTCACACACATTGTTTCTCCGGTGAGGGGGTGCAGACGGACTTCGGAAACACAGCAGGTGGGCTGCGGTCAGTGACCCTGAGCTGCCGTCTCCACCTCCCACCCTGAACGAGGTGAGGCAGAGGCCTGGCCAGCAGCTTCAGGTCCAGCGTGAAGGTTACATGAAGGTCACAGCCCAGAGCCCTGCTTCCTGACTTACTGTTGGTTCTTGTTTCAGTTTTTAATTAAAAAAAAAAAAAAAGGTTTTTTGGCCCTGGCCTGTTTTGCTCAGTGGTTGGACCGTCAGCCTGCAGACTGAAGGGTCATGGGTTCAATTCCGATCAAGGGCACATACCTGGGTTGCAGGCTCCATCCCTGGCCCTGGTCGGGGTGCATGCAGGACACAACCAGTCGATGTGTCTCTCTCACATCGATGTTTCTCTCTCTCAGGCTCCATTGGCCCTGGTCGGGGTGCATGCAGGACACAACCAGTCGATGTGTCTCTCTCAC